TTCCTTTAATCCTAGTCTCAAACTCCTCTACATTTCCAGGATTAACTGTCAAAAAATTTTTTGTCTTGAACGCAACAACACTGCTAGTGAAAATAACATGAGATATTAGAGTAAATCATCATATATTTTTGATCTGTAATTTGTTCCAATACTTACGGCTGTTGGTAATTATCTTTTCGTATATTACTTTCTGAAAACTGAACTGAATTAAAATCAGTAAAAGTTTCCACAGGTGTTTTATTGATAGGAGACGCTGAACAAATTTGTGAAGAGTACTCTGGCGGGGATGACGAAAGGAGTTGTGACTGCCAACTAGTCCCGGATGAATTAGAATCTGTCATAGTCTTAGAAAATGCAGTTACACACAAATGTGGGTCAAATGTGGAAGAATAGATCGAAGTAGTTGGGTCATAAGAATTTGTAGACGTTAAGGGATATTCAAGATTCATCTTTAAAGTCTGGGAAACGAATATCGAAGTGAGAAACAGAACTAGATGCAAAGGAAGTACTATTTATAAAGTCGGCAGTTTGAGCTTCGTGTTCCGTATATTGTCTTTGTGAATCATTGGGGACCAAAATCTAATGTTATAAATGAAGAGACAAGTAAAACTTGCATAAATTTACCAAGAGGTAACAAATTGTATGTATTCTGTCATATTTTTTACGTAAAAAATACCGACGAGAACTTTTTTTTTTTTACCGAGTTTCACATACCGATACGTGATTGCACAAATCTTAAACATCACGGATAAAATATGTTGCATCAACTAAACTTTATCATGAAAAATCTTGGGCTAATTTTGTATCCCGGACAACAAAACTAGTTAATAGATATATGAATCTCGTGATCATTAACGGCCAATTGTATTCCGTCTACTGACAACAGGCTAAAATAACTGATACAGATTCACGAGGATTTCATGCAATTATATGTCATCCAAACCAGTTTGAAGTTCTAAAGTTCTAATCAATCGTGTCAAAAAAAGTCTTGCTGCAAACCACCGAGTCTGTACATACAAAAATTATTAAATTATATGTTGAGCTTGAAATTACATATTCACGTAACGCATGCAGAATGATAACAATCATATGATAAACAAATTCTTTGCCTTTTAGAATTATTTTAAACCGAATTTTAGCCCGGGTGAATAATACAGTAAATTGCAGACACTTTAAAACCTATCATTATTGGCACTTTAAAAAAA